CTCTTGCCTGTAGCTGGACTCATCATTGTTTGTGATGCATCCCACCACCGCGGTATCATCTGCAAACTTTACAATGTGACAGCCTGGATGGGTAGCTGCACAATCATACGTGAGCAGAGTAAACAGGAGGGGGCTCAACACACATCCCTGAGGAGAGCCAGTGCTGAGGGTTATGGTGGAGGAGGAGAAGTTGTGGATCCTCACTAACTGTGGTCTGTTTGTTAAGAAGTCTAGTACCCAGTTGCAAATGGAGGGGCTTAGTCCTAGTGTGGATAGTTTGTCCATCAGGGTTTGGGGGATCATGGTGTTGAAGGCGGATGTGAAGTCCACAAAGAGCAGACGGACGTAAGAGTTTTTCTGCTCCAGGTGGGTGAGAGCAGTGTGGACCACAGAGGAGATGGCATCCTCTGTTGATCGGTTCTCACGGTATGCATACTGATGAGGGTCCTCATTGATGTTTGTTTTGATGTGAGTCATGACCAGTTTTTCAAAGCATTTAGCGACTATCGGGGTGAGGGCCACTGGCCGATAGTCATTCAGACCAGTCACTGTAGAGCTTTTTGGGACTGGGATGATGGTGGCAGTCTTCAGGCAGGTGGGAGCTGTCTCCAGGGTAAGTGAGGTGTTAAAGATGTCTGCCAGCACCTCACAGAGCTGATCAGCACATTCCTTCAACTCTTTTCCGGGGATGTTGTCTGGGCCAGTTGCCTTGTGTGGATTAATCCTCCTGAAGGTACTCCTTACTTCGGCTGAGGTCACGCTGAGATGCTCTTCATCTGGTGGTGAGGTGAGTCTGGTGCTGGGTGGTCTGTTCGGGTCTTCAAAGCGTGCATAGAACTTGTTGAGGGCATCAGGCAGAGATGGGTCTTTGGGGCATTGTTCGCTCCTTCCTTTATAATCTGTTATGCAGTTAATGCCCCTCCACATTCTCCGAGGGTCTTGTGAGATGAATTGACCCTCGATCCTCTTTGCATATGTGGCCTTGGCCTTCTTAATACCAGCAACCAGCTCTTTTCTTGTCCTACTCAGCTCCTCTGAGTTTCCAGACCTGAAGGCAGTGTTCCTGGCTTCCTGCAGGGTACGCACCTCTGCATTCAGCCAAGGTTTTCTGTTTGGATAGCTTTTAACATTTCTGATAGTGGAGACGGTGTCAGTACATGTACTAATGTAACCCAGAACTGAGGATGTGTATTGGTCAAGATCAAGCGATCCTCTATTTTCAGCAGCTTCTCTGAAAACCTGCCAATCTGTTCGGTCAAAACAATCTCTCACTTGTCACTTGTTAATGTAATTATAATGACTTCAAACTGTATTTGAGGAACCTGTTTGTTGTTCAGTCTGAAACTGCCTTGGTCTGCTGGAATTTAGTTCAAAATTCATGAATATGTTGACGCAGATTAAACCGTGAAGGCAAAAATTATTCTTTGTTTGGTTTAAACTTAAT